CTAAATCAACCTAAAATTTACCCAGCTGGGAAAACAGGTTAGTTAACAGGATTATCCAAATCTGAAATTCCAGTGATTTTCTCTTTTTGGACATTTTTGTTAGTCTGAGTGTTTGAAATCCAAACAATCTGTCTGTCCAGCTGGTATGCAGGTCTATGGAGAAGGATTTTTAAATCCCATAGTTACTTCTGGGTATTAGGAAACAGCCCTTTTTTCTACAAGAATGTATACTTTCCCAAGTTCTTTTTAATCTAGGCATCCATATAGAAACCTTATTCACCCATGTTTTCTGCTAACAAAACACTTGCTTCCAAAGGCTTGTATCTCAGCTCATGCAAGTATAGAAAAAATATAGTGCTAATTACCATCTTCTGGGTATTTTCTTTTGAAGAATGTCTTTTAGATATGGATGTTCTCAAAACCACCAGTGTCCTGAAAAAAAAAAAGGCTGTTCGTCATCAGTAGTTAGTATCCTGAGATTAATTTTTTCCTAACCAAATCTACAACAGGAATTCAATTTAGACAAAACTTTCCCACTTCAAGAGTTGCCCTACAAATCTGTTGTCAGAGTTAAACAATGCAACCACCTTGTTCATGGTGGATTCTCAATTCCAGCATTTTCAAGTTCAAATTCCCGTGTTTTCAGGCTACTGTGTACTGTTTCTCCCTGGACAGTTTCACAGTCTTGTTACAGCACTGTTGTTTCATAGCTAGCAACCTGGGCTAGTAGTTTTCACTGACTTGTTCAAATATCATGGTCCTGCACAGACGGTGGTTGTGATGGTTTAGCCACCAAAGGTCAGCCAGTTACACCCTAATTTCCCAGTAAACCTGCAAGGATGATTCTGCTTGAAAAATTCATTAGTCCCAGCCCCAGTCTACCACGGACCAAAGCACTCTTGGGTCGACTGGGGGTTGTTTGCTTTTACATGTCAGTAAACAAAGCCTAATGTATCAAGATACTCAATTATTTTCATTGATATAAAGAGGGGGAAAAAAACAGATCAAGAACTTATTAGTAAAAGCTATCATGATTCCACAACCATCAAAGGTGCCCACTACATGGCAGTGGGAAATAATTCAGAACTTTATATACAAAGAAGATCTCTGCATTGCTGTGAGCAACTTCAGAAAACCCACTGCATTCTTAACAAAAAGTGTTAATAAATTTAAGTTGGGGAACAGAAGCCAAACGATAATTATAACAAAACCCATAAGGCACTAAAAAGAAAAAAAAAACTACAATCCTGCATGTTTCCATAGTGTTTCTTAGTAATGCTTATATTGTCATAGCACTTGATGATCACACCAGTCTGACCCCAACTGTGCAAGGTACCACCTGGACATATAATGAATTTCCATCTTCAGTGGCAGTCAGAAAGACAAGAAATAGCTGATGGGTGAGATAAGAGAGAAGCCAAAGTAAGAAGCAGTGGGATAGGATTACTATTAAAAAAATTAAAAAGATGTGCCTAACAAGAACATAAAAAAGCTCTATCAGGTCAAAGCAAAGATCCACCTGCTCAGGATCCTGTGTCTGATAGCAGCTGAAAGAACAGAGGAAACTCATACGGTATGGTCCCCCAAAACTCTCCCATCTTCCAGCATTTGCAGATCATAGTCTTCCTGAGGCAGACATGGTTGCTATATATTTAGCAACCCTTAACACATTTCTCTTCTATGAACCTGTCCTGCCCGCCCTTAAACCCGTGTAAGCCCTTGGCACCCAAAGCATCCTGTGTTCCCCTTCTCAGCCACATGTGATTTGAAGAACCTCCTTTCACTTGCTTTGAGTCTGGCTCCTGCCCGCTTCAGCTATTGATGGTGT